CCCCCCACATAGGAACCAATTTTCAGATTTCAAGATCAACTATTTCTAATCAATATTGGGCATTGTGCCGGGCAACACGGGCGGCTTCGGCGCGGCGGATACCGCAGCGAAAGTATTCGCGCGCAACGAGATCGCGCCACTGCAAGCGCAGTTTCGGGCGCTGAACGCATGGGCGGGCGAGGAGATCGTGCGGTTTGTGCCGTATACCATCGAACGCCGCGGCGGGCGCTAATCAAGCCACAGCATGTGTATGAATAGGTTGGGCCACCAAGCGCACACCAAGAGCGGCACAAACTCGATTGATCGTATCAAAGCGTGGTTCACTGTCTGGGCGAAGCGCCTTGTACAAGGCTTCTCGCGTAATGCCGGAATCCCTCGCAACCTGTGTCATGCCGCGCGAGCGGGCAATATCGCCGAGCGCCGCAGCCAGTAGCGCAGGGTCGTTCTCTTCAAGAACAGCGCTCAGGTACGCTGCCACATCATCGTCACTGTGCAGGTATTCGGTCGCGTCGAAGTCCGCAAGTTCGGCAACTTGGATCTTCTTGGACATGGTTCAATCCTCCAAAGAGTTTGCCAATTCAATGGCCTTTGCGATATCGGCTTGTTGCGTCGATTTATCACCCCCACCAAGCATCACAATCAACGTATTGTTTCGCTGCGTGTAGTACATGCGCCAGCCTGGACCAAAGTGCTCGCGCATTTCGAACACCCCTTCTCCTACCGGGATTACGTCGCCCAAGTTGCCCAGTGTTGCCTTGCGCAGCCGTTTGACGAGACGCTGCCTGGTTAACCCATCCTTTAGGTGCTTGAGCCAGTCAGAGAACTCATCGAGGCTTTTCACTATGTAAGTCATATCAAATTGTAATCGATTGATTACAGGAAGTCCAGTCTACCCTGCGTTGCCCGTCGATCACGGCTCCAAGGCAGGCGGCGTATCCTTGTGTGTGCCGGAATGCGATGAGGTTGGTAAAACGACGCAGTTCCCTCCGCGCCTGCGGCGCTTGCTTGTCGCGGCGCTTTTAATGCGCCCAGCATTTGCCGGGAAGGTCCACGCAGCGCGGGCCTGCGAGCATTTGAGCGCGTAGCAAACTAATGCAGTTTGATGCGCAAATAACGCAGCTTGCTAGGCACAGTCCAGGCATTTCGCCGGGCCATGTCGTACAGACACCGAGAATACTTTTGCGAGTTCTCCCCAAGCGCTTCTCATCAAGTTATCCCCAATTTTCGGAAAAGCCGACGGAAAAAGGTTACATTGGTTACACCCCCTAAAAACAGGGTGTAAGTTCATGAATTTAAATGGGAATATGTGTTACCCCAAAAAGGTAACAAGAGGTTACATAAAAGGTAACGAGAATATAAATGATTGATTTTAAAGGAATCGTATTTTTAGGAAAGTTACCCTTTAAAAAGGTAACGTGTTACCTTGCTGTTACCTTTTTGTTACCTTTTGCTCAATCCAGCAAAGCCTTACGGGACAAGGCTTTGCGGTTATCGGCGTACTCATGTTACCAATGTTACCTTTTTCCGGAGGCCAAAAATTTTGGAGACTGAGAGAGCGTGGAGCCAGTTTTCTTATATATTTAGCTTGTGAAAAACATTGATTCACATCGCCTCAGCTAATATATCCCGTTACGCCAAATTTGCGCCAATCAGATAAAAAATCTCTTAAAAATCAAAGACTTGGCGGTGTATTCTGGTGCCCAGGGCCGGACTCGAACCGGCACGCCTTGCGGCGGGGGATTTTGAGTCCCCTGCGTCTACCTGTTTCACCACCTGGGCGGTAGTGCGCGACGAGAGCCGTCGTGCAGCACAAGCTATCATTATGTCGCAATTCGGTACAGCGGGCAAGCATGCTGACGGCGTCGATACCGGTCACTCGCTTAGCTAAACGAACTTGCTTCGGAGGCGCGCCGTAACGAGAGCGTTTCATTCCGGGGGCTGACGTTACCAACTGACATCTCAACTGCCGTGCTGCTTCTTGCCTTCCCAGGAGATGCCCAATCGTGTGGGAACTGGCGTTCCCACCTCAGCCCCCGGAATGAAACGCTCTCGCAGTATCCTTCTTCTTAAAAACGTAGGTTTGTGACAAGCCCGCCAAGGCAACCGATGTGGCATATGAAGTCAAGGTATTGCCATTCTCGAAAATGCTTCTTGAAATTATATTCTTGATTGCATATCATCTCAACGAGTTTCAATAAGAAGGAGGACTCATGCGACCGTCCGTTGTGCTCGATATGAAGCGAAGTGCTGTGCGTGAAGTGGTCGGCCACTTTCGCACGGCGAACCCGCGTGTATTCGGCTCGGTGCTGCATGGCACCGACCGGGATGGCAGCGACCTTGATCTACTGGTCGACGCGTTGCCTGGCGCCACGTTAATAGATTTGGGCGGGCTACTGGATGAACTGGAATCGCTGCTCGGCATTCATGTCGATCTGCTGACGCCCGGCGACCTGCCTCCGAAGTTCCGTGCCAAGGTGCTCGCGGAAGCGCGTCCAGTATGAGTGCGCAGCGCCTGTCCGATTACATTGATCACATTCATCAGGCCGCAACTGAGGCAAGCAGCTTCGTAGAAGGTTTAACCAGGGAGAACTTCCTGGAAGATCGGCGTACTCAGCAAGCCGTTATCATGAGCCTCATCATCATTGGCGAGGCGGCTACCAAGGTGATGGACAGATACGCCGAGTTCGCACAAGCACATGCCGAAGTGCCCTGGCGAAGCATGCGTGGTATGCGTAACCGTGTCGCCCACGGTTATTTCGATATCGACTTCGACATGGTATGGGAGACAACGCAACAGTGGTTGCCGGAACTGCTCAAGCAACTGCCAGCAGTGCGCCAGGATGCCGATGACGAGGACCGAAACGACCCGGCGGACAATAAGCCATGTTGATCGGCTATGCGCGCGTCTCGACACAAGATCAGAACCTGGAGCTACAGTGCGAAGCCTTGACCAAGGCCGGGTGCATGAAGGTCTTTGAGGACAAGGTGAGCGGCACGCGGGCCGACCGTCCTGGCCTGGCCAAGGCACTTGAAATGCTGCGCGAGGGAGACACCCTCGTCGTCTGGAAACTGGATCGGCTCGGCCGCAGTGTCAAACAACTGGTCGATCTGGTCGGCGAGCTGTACAAGCTGGGCGTGCAATTCAAGAGCGTCACCGACTCCATCGACACTGGCACGCCGTCTGGCCGATTCTTTTTCCACGTCATGGCGAGCCTCGCCGAGATGGAACGCGAGTTGACCATTGAGCGCACCCGCGCAGGGTTGGAAGTCGCCAGTCAACTCGGTCGCAAAGGGGGCCGCAAGCCGAAGATGACCGACAGCAAGATCGAGTCGGCCAAGAAACTGCTGGCCAACGGCGTTCCGCCCAAGGACGTGGCCAAGAACCTCGGTGTGTCCATTCCGACTCTCTACCGCTGGGTGCCAGCTTCAGCGCACGCTTAACGTGCTTTAAATTGTGCGCCGTGCAAAGGCACGGTTTCTCAGCGGGTGCAAATCCCGCCCGGCAACTCTCGCTCCAGCCGGTAGCAATCGGAGCAGTCGTGGAGGTAACGGGGTTACCGTTACTCGGGTGTTGGTCGACACCAATGCTCCCACGACCTTATTAGATTACTACAGTTTGAGCGCTGCTCAAGTCGACGCCGTTCAGTTGGACGAACGTGCATAGCCAAAGTTACCGCGCTACCCGGTTCCATGCTTTCGCATGGGGCGCTTTGCGGTCCATGCCGCTCACCCTGGCCGCGAGCATGGGCGACTCCTACTGGGCTGCGCCGTTTCTCGATGCCTGGAAGCCCGTAAGCATGTGGCGGCCTACGCACTTCTGATGGATGCAAAGAACGCGAAAGCTAAGGCTTTCTACGAACACTACGGCTTCATCCCGTGTCGAGATCGTCCCATGACGCTGTATTTGCCGCTGGGCGTTTAGCGCTATGGGTGACGGCCACCAAGCGATTCGTACCGCCATACCAGGATCCGGTCAGAGTTCGTACGACTGCGCGTTGCCTCGCATCGCCTGCTCGATGAGCTTGCGGCTCAGCGCCGGCGACAGCAACTCGACGAACGTATAGACATAGCCGCGCAGGTACGCGCCCTGTTTGAGCGCAACCCGCGTAGTGTTAGTGCCGAACAGGTGGCCGACCGGGATCGCACGCAGCTGCCGGTCGCGCTGCGCGTTGAACGCGACCTCGGCCATGATGCCAACGCCAAGCCCGAGCTCCACATAGGTCTTGATGACGTCCGCGTCGATCGCCTCGAGGATGATGTCCGGCGTGAGCCCGCGCAAAGCGAACGCCTGGTTGATTTTAGAGCGGCCCGCGAACGCGTTGTCATAAGTGATCAGCGGGAATTGTGCGAGATCGTCCAGCGTGATCTGCTGCTTCCTGGCAAGCAGCGCATGCTCGGGCGGCGTGACCGCCAAGTGGCGCCATTGGAATGCCGGCAGCGACACCAGGTCTTTGTACGCGGGTACCGCCTCGGTTGCGATCGCGAGATCGGCCTGGTTGTGGACGACCATCTCGGCCACTTGCGTCGGACTGCCTTGCAGGATCGACAGGTGTACCTTCGGAAACCGCTTTTTGAACTCGGCCACCGCCTGCGGCAACGAGTAGCGCGCCTGCGTATGCGTGGCCGCGATGACGAGATCGCCTTGGTCCTGTGCCGCATAATCCTTTCCGACCCTTTTCAGGCTTTCGATTTCCTGCAGGATCTTCTCGACCGATGACAGGATGATCCGGCCGGGTTCGGTCAGCGACCGGACGCGTTTGCCGTGGCGTGTGAAGATCTCGACGCCGAGTTCGTCCTCCAGTTCGATGATGGCCTTCGATACGCCGGGCTGCGATGTGTACAGGGCCTTGGCCGCCTCGGTCAGGTTGAAATTTTGGCGGACGGCTTCGCGCACGAACCGGAACTGATGCAGGTTCATATATAACTATTCTATATATTAGGAGAATTTTTTAAGTCGTTTTAAGTATAAGACAAGTCTATTACGATTTTCGCAGCTTTCCAATATCGATATCTGTTTTGGTGCTTTGCAAATGACGGATTCTTCTAAGCGGAGCGACGGCGCGCATGTCGTTCCGGGATGAGCGGATCGATGCGTGGCGCTGTTCGGAGCAAAGCACGTGAGACTGGGGTCCCACATGTATCAATACGACCAGTATGACCAAACGATCGTCGACGAGCGTGTCGCGCAGTATGCCGACCAAGTTCGCCGGCGTTTGTCCGCGGAGCTGACCGAGGAAGAATTCCGCCCGCTGCGGCTGCAAAACGGGCTGTATCGCCGCGCGCGAGGCGTTCGTCGCAGAGTTCCGCGATTGCCCGCAGCACCGCTTCGTTTTCTCCGACGGCCGGCGTGCACGCGATGCGGACATCCGGGTGAGCCGAGCGGGTTTCGTTAAGCAAGCGCGGCAGGTCCTGCCTGACGTGCCCACCCTGCCCGAAAAACACTGGGACGACGACGATCCGGCCACAGCCTTGTGCCACCTGCGCTGCAATGGCGGCCTGAAGCGTTGGCCGCATCAACTCGAGGAATGCGAGCGAGACCGGGCCGTCGTCACCGTGCGCGCCGCGCCCTGATGTGGCGTCAGTGGCGGTCGACCCAGCGCAATGCGAAGAACCCGAGCGCGAGGTAGATTAGGCCGGGCGTTGCGGCGGTCAACGGCGCAGGCCATGTATTGAGCGTGCCGATGTGCGAGAACAGCGTGTTGAGCAGCTGGAAGCTCATGCCGAGCATGATGCCGCCGAACACCTTGACGCCGACCGCGCCGGCACGCGTGTGCAGGTACGCGAACGGCAGCGACAGCACCAGCATCACAAACCCCGCGAACGGGTAAAGCACCTTGCGCCATAGCGCAATCATGTATCGCTGCGTGTCCTGGTGGTTTTCACGCAAATGCTGGACATACGAAAACAGGTTCGTGATCGACATTCGGTCCGGCGCGACCAGCAGCACCGATAGAATCCGCGGCGTGAGCTCCGAGCGCATCTGATATTCCGGCATCGATATCTGCGTGGACTTGTACACCGGGCTTAGCACGTCCCGGGTTGTCGCGGCTGCCGGCGCGACATCGCGCAGTTGCGTCTCGGTCACGCCCTTGAGCAGCCACTGGCCCGGGCGCACGTAGTGGCCGCTGTCGGCGGTGCGCACGCACGCAAGCCGGAATTGCGTGTCGAATTCGTAGATCCGCACGTTCGAGATCGTCGCGTCCGGCTTGAGTTCGCCGACATTCACGAAGCGCATGATTGGCGCACTGCCGCCATTGCCCGGCACAGTGTCCTTGACCCATACACCGGAGCGGAAGTTGCTCGATACCGACGAGCCGAGCGCCTCGAGGCGTACGCGCTCGGATAGCTGGTCGGTGTACGGGCCGACCACTTCGCCGATCACGAACGTCAGTACGACGATCGGTATGCCGATTTTCAGTAACGAGCCGAGTGCGCGATGGGTCGACAGGCCCGACACGCGGAAAATCGTGAACTCGGAGCTGGCCGCCATCTGCGCGAACACATAGATCGCGCTGATCAGCGCGGCGACCGGAATGATCTCGTAGAAGCGCGACGGCGTCTGCAGCGTGACGCGCAGCACCGCATAGCTGAACTTGTAGTTGCCGCGTCCAACCGAGTTCAGCTCGCTGATCAGGTCGAAGAAGAAAAACAGCCCCGAGAACGCGAACAGGATGAACGCGAAGGTCAGATAGACCTGTCTGGCGAGGTACTTTTCGTAGATGCGCATCGATCAGCCCCCGGACAGGGCGCGCCGCGCCGGGCGCCGCAGCAGCGCACGG